TTGAATGATTTTTTCATTTCCAGAAGCTCTGCTTGATTTTTTAAAAAATAATTCAATTTGAGACAGAGTCTCACTCTTTTGCCTGGGCTAGAGCGAGTGCCGTGGCGTCAGCCTAGCTCACAGCAACCTCACACTCCTGGGCTCAAGCGATCCTTCTGCCTCAGCCTCCTGAGTAGCTGGGACTACAGGCATGCGCCACCATGCCCGGCTAGTTTTTTCTATATATTTTTAGTTGTCCGATTAATTTCTTTCTATTTTTAGCAGAGACGGGGTCTCGCTCTTGCTCAGGCTGGTTTCGAACTCCTGAGCTCAAACAATCCGCCCACCTCGGCCTCCCAGAGTGCTAGGATTACAGGTGTAATTTAGGCCGCACCCGGCCTAAAAAATAATTCAATTTCTTTAGTGAATTTTTCATTCATTTCCTGCATTGTTTTTGTGGTTTCTTTGTGTTGGGTTCATTGAGCTCCCTTACAATCTATATTTGAAATTCTTTATCAGTCAGTTCAATATTCTCATGTTGGCATTTTCCTTGGTTTCCATTGGTATAGAGTTATTATTTTCTTTTGGGGGTGTCCTTTCATTCTGAAAGATCTGGAGATCTTTCACTGAATCCTCCTCAACTGGAGCAGCTTTTGCTTCTTATTTTTGGATTTTCTTTTGATTAGATAATGGCGCACCCAGTTTAATCTCTGAGACAGTGGGTGGTGCTTGTGGGGGACACTCAACTATATCTTATATGATCCAGTCAGTAAATACTGTAAAGGGTGTGCAAATTGACCTCCCGGTCGGTAGGTGGTGCTTTCCAGCAGGAACAAGCTACAATGTTGTTTTTGGATCCTGTGACCAGCTCTAGTCCCTTCAGGGAAGTACTTGATTGCCCCAGCTGGTGGGTGGGGCCCTGGAACTTCAGATGAGTCCTTATTCTCTGCCACAGCAGAGGCAGGTAGGGGAGTGCGGTTGGGTGAGGCTGGGTTGGGTGAGACTCCCCTTGGCTCCACGAAAGCTGGCAAGGTATCTGTTTCAGCAGGGGTCAAAGGTCTGCTCACAGCTTCTAGGGAAAGCCACCACGGAGAGGCAGCAGTAGTGTCACCCAATCACAAATCTCCCCTCTTTGCCCCCAAGCAATGTGACTGAGACCTGGGGATACAGGATCTGGCCTGCGGGTCTGTCACTAGGTCCCAAAGATTGAAGCCCTGACTATGCCAGGGAGAAGTGCCCTGGCCCCGAGTTGCCCACAGGGTGCCCAAGCAGGTTCAATGTCCCTGTGCCTCGGGGTGTGCCCCACGCTGATGGAGTCGCTGGGCAAGAGGCACCAGGGCCAGTGGGCAGGGAGCTCAGAGTCCGAGCACCCCTCAGTCCACTGCAGGACCCCCTAGAGGAAAAGTCTGAGCCCCATTCTCTGTGGAAGCCTCCACGTGGTGGTTCTATTGTCTCTCTCGGCAGCCACAGGTGGGGGAGGGAAGGGAGTAAAAGAGTCTGGAAAGGTTTGAGCCCCACTCTTTGTGATGGACGCACCAACAGAGAGGAGAAGCAGTTCCTGCGAGCCCTGGCTCACTTGTCTCTCAGCAGCCACGGGTGGGCATGGGAAGAGGAGGAAAAGAGTCTGAGTAGAAGACAGCTGGCACTCTGGCTGTCTCTGTCCCTCCCTCCAGAAGGCAGCCCACCCAGAATGTCCAGACTCTGGGGTCACACAGGTCCCCCGGGACCCACCAGCACCCTGTGGCTCCCGCAGTCTGGGCCAGAGTTGGGAAATGTTTGTGTGGGAATGAGCCAGACAAAATCTGTGGGCTGAGGCGCCCTGGGGAGGACAGAGGTGCACAGTGGGTGGAGAAGCAACATGGTGCCTGCTGTCTTTGATTGGGTCTGCAGTGACAGGAAGTGACCCCCAGGGCACCGGCTGCCTGGTGCCTCGTCCTCACGAAGCTCCCAGTTCACTGGCGGCAGCAGCTTTCGGGCTTGTGAGGGCAGAAGGGCTCTCCGGCAGCTCTGGAGCCCACTGCCTGCCAGAGCTGTGGGGAGGGAGAAGTAAGCCGCCCCACCCACCCTTCTCGCTGGACTCCAGGCCTCCTGGGCGTTGATCTCTGCCAAAATCCTGCTCCTTCATGTTCCGCTCCTAATTCTGGGGGCTAGAAGTCCAAGATCGATGTGCCAGAGGGGTGGGTTTCTTCTGAATCTCCCTAGGCTTACAGATCCCAAATTATTAATATTACAACCATCTGCTCTTCCAAGTATTTCATTAGCCCCCTGAAGCAAACCCAGGAGCCTCAGGAAGCAAGCCCAAGTCCAGCAGCAGGCCATCAATCTTCCTGCCAAGCCCCAGTCCGAGCCTCACTGGCTTCCCTTAATAGAGCCCACAGAGCAACCTCTTTCTCTGCCTCCTCACTTCTAGCCTGGCACCTCCAACACGGCCTCTGCCAGCAACCCTGGGTCTTTCTGAGCTGCACGTCTGAGGGGGCCCCTCCTCTCCTGAACACCTGCACTGGCATCACCGTCTGCCTGAGGGATGCAGCTCCTGCTCTTGAGCTGGCCACGGAAGCCCTCCAGGCCTCCCTGCCCCCAACCCCTGCTTCGCACAGGCTGTTCCTCCACCAGGCATGCCCTTTCCCACCTTTCTCTAGGAAAATGCATGCTAAATGTCACCTTGGGCTGGGATTCCTGCTGGGATTGCCCAGGAAGGCAGGAGCTGCCAGCTCTGTGCCGTTTCAGAACTGTGTGTGTTCTTCTGTAACGGCCCCATTACATGGAGTCATCCTTCCTTCTTCTAGTGTCTGGCTGTCCCACCAGACTGAGAGCTCCTGGAAGGCAGGGACCAGGTTGAACTCATGTGTCTCTGTCTTGTCAAGACTCGCTTTGGGCAATCATTCAGGAAAGACAGAAAGAAAGTGTCATGTCCTTCCCTCCCTGGCCCCTGTGTCCTCATGTATCAAGTGTCTGTTGCATGCCTACTGTGTGCCAGGCTGGGCTGTCCTCCATTAGAGCCTCTGGGCCGCTTTATCTGGCTCCAGTGGATCAGAGACCTGCTGCAAAAGCAGGAGGCCTCAGTGCTCCAGCCAGGGGCCTGGGCTGGACAACAACCCCTCCGCCAGTGGAGCAGAGTCCCAGAAAGCCAGGTCGCTGTTGAGGGTTCCACTGATCAACCCCTTCTCCTGGGCCTGCGCTTTCAGGCAGGTTCAAACTCTGTTCTGCCACTCCCTGGCTGGGTGATCTTGTCTCCTGCCCAACCTAGATGGAGGCTATTTTGAGTCAGGGTCACCTGTCTGTGCCCACAGAGGTGACAGTGGAGGTGCAGCAGCCCAGTGGGGTGGCTGAACTGACCACAGCCTAAGGCAACCGTGGGAGATCTTGTTTCCCACTTCTACTTTTCGGACACTCGCCTTTTGTCATGCAGTGAACTTGGTCAGACACTCATTTGCTATCTGTGGCCAAGTTACCTCACCTCCAGAGTCCCAGCTGTCTCTTCTGGAAATGGAGATAGTATCCCTTGCCTGCCAGGTTGGTGTGAGGCACAGAGGAGGTGTGAGCGACGGCCACACTGGGCACTGTGAAGGAGGCAGCACCACACTCCTTGCCCTTCAGGAAACGCCCTCTGTGGCCTGATTCAGCCACAAGAACCTCTGCAGACACGGGAGAAAGTACACGGGCCAGGTGTTGGGAGGCTAAGTTCTGGCCTGGCTCCCAGAGCTGGGTCTCAGCCTCCTGCTGCCATTCTTACCTCTGGGTCTGTGGCAGGTGACAGCCACTAATGGGGACTCAGCAGCTGCCTCCTGTCAGGGAGGGGACTTCCCAGGGTGCCTCGGCAGCCAGGGGGTATGCCAAGGAGATGTGGCGGCCACAGTGTCTCAGGCCTCAGCCCAGAAACTAATAAACATTATTGGCGTGTGGGGAGGGAGGGAGGAAAGTGTGTAGCTCTGAAACCATTGAGACTGATTTATTGGTTAATTAGTGGGTTTTTACAGCCACAGACTTCCCCAGCTGTGCACAGGCATAGGAAGGGAGGGGGCCACTGTGAGGCCAAGTGTGTCTCGGTGACTCTCCTGAGCCCGGGCACCAAACAGGCTAAAGGAATAATGCAAGGTGTTTGGACCAGGGAATGGGCCCACGACTTTATAGCCAGGGGAAGCCCGTCAGGACCTGCCTGCCTGAGACTGGAACAGAAGTCTCTTAAGGAAGGGACTGGGAACTCTGCGGTTTCCAGGGCATCCAGTCATGTGTGGGGAGCTGCAGTTTTGGTAAAGAGAATCAGGAAGAACCAAGAAAAACTGTGGAAACCATGGAAACGGAGAGAAGATGCCCCAGAGGTAGAAAAGGAAGACCGTTGAGTAGAAAAACTTAGCTTTTAAAATACAGTGGGTTAGGAAATTAAAAACAGAAAAGAAAAAGTTAGACAGCCATGGGTTTGAATCCAACCTCTGCCAAACACTAGCCGTGTGACCCTGGGCAAATCACTAAACCTCTCTGATCTTTGATTTCTACATTTGTAACATGGGGCTAATCATATCTACCTTGCAAAGCTGTTTTGGTAATTAAAGAACATAGCACCTGTGAAACATACACTTAATGAATGAGCTTAATAAATATTTGCTATATTAGTTGCTAGTGTTAAATTGCCTAGGACAGGGCTCGGAACCAAGAAGGGGCTTGGCAACAGGTGGTGGAGAAAGCAGGGCCTAGAAGGTGCTGACCCAGTCGGAGGGATATGCAGAGGGACCACCCTCCTGCCACTGGCTATGGACAGAGTCTGGGGGCTGCCCTGCTAGGGGGCTGTGCAGCACCATTTTCACTGCCCGGGGTGTCCGCTGGGCTGGAGCGCAGCTCAGCCACCACTCAGCTGTGGAGCTTGGACAAGTCGCTCCACACTGCGCGCTCCTGAGGACTCCTGGCCTTGGCCCCATCCCCTAGCCCAGTGGCGTCCTGCCTTCGAGGAAGAGGACAGACAGACAGACGGACACCGGCAGAGTCAACGCGAGCAAGGTTTATTCCGGTCCTCAGGCAGGCAGGGCTCATCCAGCCTCTCCGCCGTGGGCGGGCCCCTCCCTGGGCTCCCCAGCCCAACCGCTGCCGGCCAGCAGCCTCCCACGAGGCCGGGCGTCCACGGGGGTGCAGCCGCCGGGGCCCGAGGAGGCGGGGTGGACGCGCCTGAGGGCGCGGCGGGCGCCCGGGGGGCAGCGGGTGCGGTGGCGGCGGCGGCGGCCGCAAGGCCACAGGCGGCGAAAGCGCGCGCGGAAGTGGCGCGAGGCGAGCGCGTAGACGAGCGGGTTGAGGCAGGAGTTGGCGTAGGCCAGGCAGTGCGAGGCCAGGCGGCAGGCGTAGGTGGCCGGGCTGAAGGCGAAGCGGCCGTACCAAAAGCAGAGGATGAGCGCGTGGTGCGGGCCCCAGCAGAGGGCGTAGAGCGCGGCCACCGCCAGCATGGCGCGCCCCGCGCGGCCCGTGGCCCGTCGCCGCGCCTCGGCCGCCGCCGCGCCCGCGGGGCCCACGGCGGCCCACAGGAAGCGCAGCGTGCGCCCGTAGGCCAGGCTCACCACGGCCACAGGCAGCAGGTAGCCGGCGGCGAAGGTGGCCACGTCGAGGGCGCGGCGGCGCGCGTCCTCCCAGGCGGGCACGCAGAGCTCCAGCGCGCCGTAGCGCACCGTGCCGTAGTAGCTGAGGTAGGGCGCCGAGAACAGCGCCGCCAGCAGCCACACGAGGCCCACGGCGGCGCGGGCATTACGCGGCGTGCGCAGGGCCCGGGAGCGCAGCGGGTGCCGCACGGCCAGGTACCTGCGGACGGGGCGCCCAGTCAGCGCGGCGGGCGGGCGCGCTTCCGCCGGGACCCCCGTCCGCGCCCATAGCAGGGGACTGGTGGACCTGTGGCCTCAAGGGGCCTTGGTTCCCTCCTCTGAATAATGGGGGTTGTTGTGAGGATTAAACGTGTGAACACTTAAGCAAAGGGCTTAGATCAGTGCCTGGCACCCAGCTAGGGCTGAATTGCTGTTAGGTGTTATTTATGGTATTATTTTACATACCAGTCAAATGAAGCCCAGAGAGAAGTGACTTGCCCAAGGTCATCAGCTAGGGAGTGAGCTTGGAGTTGACCCCAAGTTTCATGCCATGGAAGCAGGTGTGAGCATAACTTGGGCCAGGTGTGGGCAATTACATAATAACTGATGAATGCATTTGTGAGTGTCTTTAGCCATTCATTTCACACTTACAGAGCACCTGCTATGTGCCAGGCCTTGTGCTGACACTTGAGACACAGATGTCCTCTGGAAACTCAGTGCAGGTGGGGGCAGGGCAGGCATGCCCTGCAGGTGCAGAGAGGCTGCTTGCAGGGGGCCAGAGAGCTTTCCTTCCTTGCCTCCCTCCCACCTCCCTTTTTGGTACCCCATTCTCTCCTTCCTAAGGCCAATGACAATCTGTTCAGGTCTTCCCTCCCCGGCCAGGCCCTAGACACAGCGCACCTGTCCACCGAGACGGCAGCCAGCGTGAAGCTGCTGGCGTACATGGTGAGGTAGATGAGCAGGTGCACAGCCTTGCAGACGAGGGCCCCAAAGAGCCAGGCGTCCAGGGTGTAGATGGCGGCCTGGAAGGGCACGCAGCACAGGATGAAGCAGAGGTCGGCCACGGCCAGGTTGAGGATGAACAGATCTGTGGTGCTACCCGGCTCCTGCCAGGCACTGGGGCCGGGCTGCAGCAGCACCGCCAGCACCAGCCCATTGCCCACTGTGCCCAGCAGGAAGATTAGGGCAAAGACCACAGGCACTGCCACAGCCCCCACACTCCCTGGGCTGTCCAGCGAAATGTTCTGGGCATCAGCCATCTCCCCATCAGACAGGCACCTGGGGAAGAGAAGCTGGAGTCATCAGGCAGGGGCCCCCAGCTCTGGTCACTTGACCCAGGGGTCTAGCTCCCCCAGCCTGAGTCTGGCAAGGTGTCCTGGGCTGGAAGCTCATGGGGGATGGGGGAGGGGAAAGCAGAACCAAAAGTCATCACTGAGACCCACTGTGTGAGCAAGCCCCTGGCACAGTCACGCTGGTGTTGGGGGGGTGGTTCTTCAGTTTCCCAGGGTACACCCCTCTCATCCAGGGCATGGAAGGCTGCTTAGGGAGCTGGTGGACACCTTACCTCCAACCCATGAGGCAGATGAAGACACAGGCAGAGTAGGGTGAAGACATGGCAGATCGGGGGAGGGGCAGTGCCAACCCCAGGAGCTGGTGTATTTTCCTTACTTTTTTTTTTTTTTTTTGAGACAGAGTCTCACTCTGTTGCCCTGGCTAGAGTGAGTGCTGTGGCGTTAGCGTAGCTCACAGCAACCTCAAACTCCTGGGCTCAAACGATCCTATTACTGCCTCAGCCTCCTGAGTAGCTGGGACTACAGGCATGCGCCACCATGTCCGGCTAATTTTTTCTATATATTTTTAGTTGTCCAGATAATTTCTATTTTTTTTAGTAGAGATGGGGGGGTCTCGCTCTTGCTCAGGCTGGTCTCGAACTCCTGAGCTCAGACAATCCACCCGCCTCAGCCTCCCAGAGTGCTAGGATTACAGGCGTGAGCCACTGCGCCCGGCCTTTTCCTTACTTTTCAATGGGAATCTGAAGCTCAGCACCTAGCTCAGTATTTGGACATGGGTTCAGGACTTTCTCTAGCTACAAGCTGTAGCTTCAGCAAAACATGGGTGGCATCCCTGAGTCATTGGAAAGTCCACTCTAGTGAGATGACCACAATGGCAAAGCTGGGAAGACCATATAGCTCACTGAACCCTTTTTGCACATGGGGAAATTGGAGCCCAGAGAGGGTACGTGGATGGTGGTGGGGGGCAAGAATCATATTTTGAATGGCAGATCTGGGCTGTTGCCACCCTGGTATCCCGACTTCTAACCTAGAGTGCTCATCTGAACGGCTGTAACAGGTGGTGCCTCTGAGCCTGCATGTGTGTGTGTGTGTGTGTGTGTGTGCGCATTTGTGCACGCCACGGCCATTCTTACCCCCCTGGCCCACCCCACAGCCCACATTGCCTACTACCTGTGGATCCCCTGGCATGCCTGGGATCGCTGGGGTGATGGGACAAATTGGTGGGGAGAGACAGAGAGGAGGGAAGAAACGCAGTATCTGCCCCCACCCCAGCACCCGGCATGCAGCAGGTCCCCAAAGCTCAGGATGGGCAACACCCACCTCAACCCTGGGCACTGGACTCTGCTTGATCCTGGATGGAACAGCCAGGCTGGGGGCTGCCTCCTGGCTCAGCTGCTGCCCCTCGGTGCCTCCGCGCAGGTACAGGTCTGCTTCCTACTTCTCCCTCTTCGCCTTTAAGGCACTTCCTCTCCTCTGCCCCCCTCTGCTGAGCTGGAGTTGGGCACTCCCTCTGGAGTAGCCACTGACCACCTCCTCCTCAGTTCCTGATTTCCCCGGGTGGCATGCTCTTCTGCCTGTCTCTTCTCTGCCTCTCTGCGTTGCTGCTGCCTCTTTCTCTCTTTCTGCAGTGAGTAACCCATTGATCTCACTCTCTGAGATTCGCTTTGTAGTTAACCCCTCCGTGGCCAGGGCCCAGCTCAGTCCAGGCACTCCCACCTCCTGTGGCCCTGTCTGGTGACTCCACCCCCTTTCCTTTCCCCCCCTACCCCCAGACTCTGAGCAGGTGTCCAATCCAAGTTTAAAAAGGATTCCTAGTCTTGAATGGGGTTTCTTAGGCTGGGAAACCAGGACGTGAGTCCCCTTTCTACAGACTTCAGGTAGAACCCCTCCCCTCAGGCCTTGCAAGTCCCCAGTCCCCATTTCCTTCCCTAAGCTCTTTCCAGGGGCTTAATCCAGCTGGTGACCAGATGGTTTATGTACTTGCCCAAAGAGTCTAGCTTCAGCCTGAGGGCAGCAGGGAGCTAGTGAAGGTTCTAGAGCAGGGAGGTGACCTGCACACGTTTATTATGTCCTGGGGTGAAAAGGATGGATAGAGGGGGAGAGATTTGATGAGTGAGGCTCCTGCTAGGAGCCTCTTGTCCAGGCAAGAGCCAAAGAGGCTAATAAGTCCTGGTGAATGGCTGTGTGATTCAGTCGTGGGGTTCAGGCAGAACCCACATGGCCAGATGCTTCCAGAGGGTTAAGGAGGCTAGCACCTGGGGAGCGAGGTGTACTGGATTTAGCCACATGGAGACTGTTAGAAAACTGAACAAGGGTAGTGAGGGCAAAAGGCAGTTTGCAGTGGGTTAAGGAAGGGAGAGAAGAGGTGGCAGGGACTCAGTGTCTGCCTTTTTAGAAGCTAGGGGTAGGGTGGGGAGCCTCTCAAGGGGGAGCCTGTGAAAGGGAAGAGAAAATAGGGCGGGAGCACAGATGGAGCCAGGACTTGCATTCAAGGTCTGAGGAGCTGGGCAAGAGACTCTTTAGAATGAGCTCCTTGAAGGTCCCTGGGATTGTCACCCACCCCAGATGCAGAGAATCCTCGAGTTTTTAGAAGCAGAGACTCACGGAGTTGAAACTATTAGGAATCTGCTCTGGACTCTCCAAACCTAAATTCAGAACCAACAGAGTTGAATTGAGGAATTAGAATTGTAGAATCCGATGGTAACCGAACAGCAGAACTGTAGGATTCTAGACTCAGTGTGGTGGGATTTGAGAACTATGGACAGAGATCCACAACCACCTTGCCTGAAAGTAATGCACTGTTAGACTCCCAAAAGCCTGGACGAATGTGTGTGCCTGAACCGTGGAAGGTGCTGGAAAGCCCCAGAGAGAGAGAGAGATCCTTGCGCCCCTTGGGAGCACCCTGCCTGCAAGGCCCCTCCTCGCCCAGGGTTGGGCAGTGCTAGGGCAAAGAGCTCCCAGCAGCGGCAAGGCTGAGCTGATAGGAGAGCGGAGGTGGAAGGAAGGAAGAAGGGAAGACGGAAGCGATCAGAGAGAGGGCGGCCGTGGGCCGGACTGGACAGGGGTGCCGTCATGGCGCAAGCCTCAGCGTGCCACCCCTCCCCTCGCTCCTACTGCTGCTCCAGGCTGCCGCAGCCTGAACACAGTGCCTGACTCAAGAGGACATGGACGGCGCGCCCTGGGAGCGAGTCCCAGAGCCCCTGGCTCCGCAGGACACGGACTTGCGGCTAATCCGCGCCGGCCCTTGGACGAAGCATGGCCCTATAGCTGGTCACAGACGTCGGGTGACCACGAGGACGCGCCCAAGCTGACGCGGCTGGCTGGGCGCTCTGAGCCGCGAGCTGGCCGACGGCGTGCAGTGCCACCCCGGTCCGCTGCCCACCCTGCCCGCCAGCGTTGGCGCCTGGGGGCTGCCGCAGGATGCAGGGCGCGTTCTGCACCACTGGTTGGTGGGGCTTCGCCTCGTGCCACCTCATATCGGCGTGGCCCCGCTGGGTACTCCACACAGACTGAGACACGTCGACCCGCAGCTGCTCTCGGCTACCAGGCATAACCTGCCGCCTGCGCAGACCTCACATGAAGCCAAAGGCTGCACTGCTGGTTGAGTCCTGGGCTGCCGCCAGGTGTCCTACCCAGCGGAGGCCTGCCAATGTTCTTATCGCTGATGTGGCCACCGCTGTCCCCGGCCTGGCTGCGTTCCACCGGCCACCCTCGCAAGCTCCAGGACCCAGGCCCAAGTTCCTCCGGGTGGCAGGCTAGGATTCTTACAATCCCAGCTTTGAGGTCCCGCAGGACTGGGCTGGAGCCGCCCAGACCGTCCCTCCCAAGATGTCAGGGCAAAGGGGAGGCGGGAGGAGCAGGACGCAGAGACGTAGGTCTGGTTTCCGGTCGTTAATGATAGAGGGCTTTTCACCCTCTCTGCCCCAAGCCACTTAGTGTGGCTTCCCAAGGCCACACCACGCCAGGGTTGGAACTGCGATGCCTCAGAACCCACTCCCCACCCCGATCCGCACCCGGTGCCCAGGGCGCTTAGCAGGTAGAGTGATGGAGAGACCCCCGCCCCACGCAGTGCCTATAGGACCAGGGGAGCGGCCAGCTGTAGTGAGAGAAAAGGGAGAATGGCGCCTTGGCAGCAGCAAATCATCCCTCCCGGCCCCGCCAGCGGGGCCGCCCAGACAGCCACTGTCCAAGGCCCCCTGCAGGGGGTGGGGGGGGGACGGAGGCGGGGCGAGCCGGCGGCTGCAGCTGCCGGGACCTGAGCTCGCCGCGCCCCCTGGCGGCTGACCACCAGGCCGTAGCCTTGGAATGAGCGAGATGGAAGGGCCCTAGATCTCAACGTGGGAGTGGGTGGGGTGTGGGGGCTGAAGCAACACAGGCTTGGGGCTTCTCCAGTGCCAGAGTCAGGCAGGGACAAAGTGGGCTAGAACACAGGGTTCGACTGTCAGGGTCTTCCTCAGTGGTGATCCACATTCTTTTCTTTGGAGTCTGAATCCTCCACCTCTCCTCCCAAACATGGGTTTGGGCACCCAGCTCCAGCTAGCTGTCTCCATCTGGGCAGCTATGGGGGAGCGGAGGCGGTGGCGCTCACCAAGGCTAGACCTGGGGGCTGCAGAGTAGCGGGTGGGTGGCAGGGGAAAGGGCCTGCAGGCCGGTTCTTAGCTGCTCTCCACAGCAACACGGACTCACTGAGCCAAATGGTGGCCCCTGCCAACTCCCAGATGCCTGGGTCCCATTTAATTTTGAGGAGGAGGTCAGCTCTAGGAGATACAGTCCTCAGGAGCCTGCCCCGAGAGCCTGAGCGTCTGGCTGATTCTTCAACAGGGCTGGGCCTGCTCGGAGAGAATAAAACAGACCAAAGCATGACAGCCAGTTTTCACGCTTGTTTCGCATACTCACAGCCATAAGCAGAGGCCTTGTCCCTGCCGGGCCCTAGGACTCTGGTTCAGGACTCAGAGCTTCTGGTCTGG